TAGTGAGGAGAAATCTGGAAAAGGACAATAAAAGAACAGAGTTTAGAAAGCTAGAATATGGTCATTGATATTGCATTTAAATTTTTGAAGATGGTAATTGGCAGTGAAGTAAGAAATCAGAATGGAGTTTTACAGGTGAGAAAAAGAACTAACTGCTGTATCTAGTTCAGCAGTAAGACAGTGAGACCTAGTTGCCAATCTAGCAGCACACTTAAATTCATGCAGTTGAGGCACTAAGGAAAAAAGCTCATCAGAAAAATGGCCATGAAAATATTTGTAGAATAGTTAGAGGGAAGCTATGTCATGTCAGTGAGAAAGTGATTGAAATCAAGATGCCAGATCAGGGCCGATTATATGACATACCATTCCTTGAATTTTGTCAAGACTCTCAAGATATATAGCAGGGGAACCAGACCAAATATGGTAGCAGTATTCAATGCACAGATGAATGGTAGAATTATACATGTCTAAGAAGGTTTCTAACAAGAAGAATTGGCTGGCCTGACACAGAGAACCAACCTTCTTAGCAGTAGACCTAACAATTAGTTCAATATAATCAAATCCACTTTATGTCAGAAAACGTAAGCCCAAGATGACACAAAGTGTTGCTCTCCTGGAGTTTAGCATCAGCCATGATGATGACAGACAGGAAAGGTTCTCTGTGGTGATTAAATGAGCTTTGTTTTGGGGGCGTTACAATTTTCAAGATATTCCTTGCTCCAGTTAACCATTGACTGGAGATCCTTTTCAAGAACAGTTGCCAGTTTCACTTTGTTAGATCTATTGGGCTTGCTACTAAGACAGGAGTAAATAGCTTTGTTATCTGCATATATACCTAGTTGAGAACTGATGACATCGGGAAGGTCATTGATGAAGATCAAAAACAGCGTAGGTCCAAGGATAGTGATGGAGACACCTGCATTAATATGAAATGAACACAGCCATTATTACAGGAATGATTAAGCCAAATATTCATCCAGAGACACCATCAATTCTGCACAGAGTTTTATGGAGAAATATCTTTCCTATCTTATGTTGCAAACTTGAGGTATCCGATCGGCTAATGCTTACCCAGACATTGTAAACTACTAATACCTACACCTAACCTAACTTCATTATACTCTAATATTAAATGTAATTTGCAATTATGACATGTCTTGTATGCAACCAAATGTGGTAGCTTATTTATGCTATTTATATGTGGACTAATGTCCTCATCTTTGTTGTTATTATCACAATATTTCAGCCATTGTGCCCTCCAGCCTTCATTAGGTGTCTGGTAACCTACAGGAAATTTCGAACTGAATCTATCGGGTAGATTGCTTTCATTCCATATCTTGTTCTTATTTTAGTACTGCTTAGTTATTGCTTCCCTGTTTCCACCAAGTCCAAGTAAACACTGCCCGGCCCAGGAATTGAACTCACAATCGCTATGTCACCAAATTCATGAAACAATGCTTTAATCCAATAGGCCAATAAGTTACCAACCTTTTTTAGCTCATTGCCCACTTTGAACCTAGAATTTTTCTGTGGCCCATGAAATGATTATAGTGATTATAGGGCAGATTGGATTAACAGATTTATAGATATTAACATTCCCATATAAATAAGCAGGATGATATTTGCTGGTGATTTTTTTATATATATATATATATATATATATATATATATATATATATATATATATTTATGAATAAAAAAATGACAATAGGAAAACTCGTAATTGCTGACGCGTTTCATCCAACATGGACTTTATCAAAGCAAAATACGAAATGAATTTAATTGAACAAGGTAACTAATAAAAACAAAAACAGAATGTTCCTAGCAACTGGAATGTACAGAAACGCTATTTTCATATTATTAACTGAAAATAACGTCAGTATTTGTCACGTGTGGAGAATATTCTCATTATATCTGTGTTGATGTATTCAACCATTTTCTTTTGATTTTATGAATCTGTTGTGTACATTTGTTTGCGAGAGCAGTAATTTTGTTAAGAAAGATGAAATGGGGAAAAAACCTGGGCGTAGATTAATATTTCATATTTTGCTTTGATAAAGTCCATATTGGACAAAATGCGTCAGCAATTACTAGTTTTCTTATTGTCATTTTTATTCATAAATATTGTCTTCTCTACTGGTTAAATCTACTTATATATATATATATATATATATATATATATATATATAATAATTGTGTATTTGGGTAGCAATCCCTCATTTATACAAGTTTCATTAAAGACACCAGACAAGGTACTGCAGTTAAGCTTTTTATTGAATTTTTCTTGTGTTCATATAAGTATAGGAAATCCACTTAGACTGTACTTCTCAAACAACTACATAACGAAAACAAGGTATTTAAAAAAGTTACTCAACTTCAAATATATGTCTGTTATGAAGATGATATTATTATTTTAGCTGAACACATAAAAGGAATCGATATTCTCAAAATTACATCTGAAAAAAATTCTGTCCTTAACTTAGTCAAAAAAAATAAACTC